TCCACAGTATTACATTTTGAAACAAGTGATACATGAAGAGGCGATACGCTGGTTTGGTGACATTTCCTATCCTGAACGTTTTGTACGCTAATCTTATCTCAGACCTTCGGATTTTTTATTTATGTATTAATACATAAAACAGAATGAAAATAAACTAGTCAATATTACATTTTAATTTATTCTTTGCACATTCTTTTGTCTCCTTTATTTATTTTTCCTACATTCTCCTACGCATCAGTTATTCGTTGTTGTTGTTTTTTGTTTTTACCATGAATTCTTTATGTAAACGATGAGTTATGTTAGTTTGAAGAGTCTCGTTTTTATTCAAAAAAGATTAACGTATAAGTGCATCAAAAATTACATGAAATCCATTAATTCCTTTTCTTTTAAACGATTATGATATTATTTTATATTCATTGTAATTAAATGTCCTGTAAATTATCAATATTATTTCAAAATATTCTAACAACAGTGATAATCTTAAAATTATGCCGTATATAACTTTCTAATGCAGTTGTTCTTAAATTAATATTTAATTTTATATAGTCGAGCTTCGCTGTAATACCATTTTACTTTATTTTGCTGCAAAAAGTAATTTGCTTTAGGATTATTTTCATCGTACCTTTATGGCCCGGCATGGCCAGGTGGTTATGGTGCTCGACTCGCAATCTGAGGCTCGTCTTTTCAGCCGTGGGGACGTTATTATGTGACGATCAACCCCACTATTCGTTGGTAAAAGAGTAGCCCAAGAGTTGGAGGTGGGTGGTGATGACTAACTACCTTCCCTCTAGTCTTATACTGCTAAATTAAGGACGACTAGCGCAGATAGACCTCGTGTAGCTTTGCGCGAAATTCAAAAACACACAAACCTTCCTTTGTTCTTTTCGTAAGCGACACCACCAAGTACTCTGAACTTTAATGAAAGCCTCCTCCCGCCCGGTGACTCAGTGGTAAGGTTGAGGGCTTATAAAGCTAGAATTAGGGTTTAGATCCCTGTGCAGATAGCCTACTGTACAGCTTTGCTCATGAATAAAGAAACTTTGGTTAAAAAATACGAAAATGACTAGTTAATTTTAGCGACTAAACATTGCATCAGATATCGACCAAATGAAACCAGTACGACTTCTTAGATCTAAATGGTAGAAGATAGAAAATATCCTAAAGAAATTTTAAAGTATATTTAGTCTGATAGAAGAAACCTATAAATAAGAAAAACGTATACTGATAAACTTCAACAGTTAAGATAAAAATCTCATTCCTACTCAAGTTTTCGGCAACTAATTAATCTATGAGAAATATTACTAACTACGCGTCAAAAATGTAAATATGGACTAAATTTAAATACTATTAATAATATTACGTAGTTGTTTCGTTTTCTTTTGTTTGCAAAGTTCATTATGTTTGATTTTACTGAGTATATTAATTTGGTAATATATTTACTTATTTTCAGGGCTTGCAACTGCAAATAAAGGTGAGTCATGAATTTTATGTTCATTATTCTTCCTATACTAGCGTATAGCCGTGAAAAATGACGGGACAAGTACTACCATCCTCACCCCATAATATACCCTAATCTCACATTTCATAGCTAACTGACATAAACAGATTTTGCGAAATCAAACTAGATCAACAAAGAGGCAGAAAAGTGTATTCAAGGCAGTCAAACGTCGGTAAATTCCTTTGTGAGCCAATCAATAAAAATCAGTAAGATTAAAACTTCTGCAATTTGGTAACACAACGTTCCAACAATGGCTTTTATGTCATGTTGCTTGTCAACAAAAGTATAACCTAATATTGTTGTTAGTCTATGTACTGAATATATATAAAATGAAATGTTTAGACAATAAAACTGGAAAAAAAATATTTGTTGATTTCTTAATTGATAATTTTTGTTGATTTAAAGAGTTTTATATTAAAAGCTTTGATGATATAACAGAAAATAGCTCAATTCAGAAACGATTTAAGTTTAAAATTGAATAAATATTTTTCTTACACGATAAATCATATGCACTTGGCTCTGGACTAGGTGATCCCACACAACGTATTTACTTTAGGTTTATTATACCAATACTCACTACACTTATAAGGTTTCATGGCACACACACCCCTCACGGCCCCCTTGCACTTCCGTCACTAAAATCGTAATGGAC